ACCTAAGCCTTATCAGTGATCAGCATCCCAAGTCCTCTCCTCACGAGTGCATCGCGACCCGTTTCCAAAGTCCGAGGTCCACCATCAACAGCATCCGGGAACATTGACGACGAAGAAAAATCCTCAGGAAGTACAATATACATTTTTTCAAAGACCTATTTATTTCCTTTTCGAATTGGTTGTTTTTCTCTCTTTTAACTGTTTCACCCTCTTTTCTCAACTTACGGAGCATTCACAGATCCACAACACAGTAAGCTTGTAGTTAATCAAGATGTTTTCTAAGTCTTTTTTTAAACATGAGCCCAACACAGGCATAAAGTGTATTCAGGTACTTACCTCCGACGACGTGAGGTAGCAGAGTCGCGAGTCTGCACTCTCCATGGAGGCCTGAGTAACCAGGGCATTGTGCTCGCGGTCGCTGGAGTAGCCCCTTTCTCGGTCGCTTCCGTAGCCACCACGGTCACTGGCGTAGCCTCTTTCACGATCGCTTGCATAGCCTCGTGAATCTCGGTCACTCATGTAGCCTCTCTCGCGGTCGCTCATGTAACCACGTTCGCGATCGCTCATGTAGCCTCTCTCTCGGTCGCTCATGTAACCTCGCTCACGGTCGCTGGTATAACCTCTTTCTCGGTCACTTGTGTAGCCTCTTTCCCGATCACTTGTGTAGCCTCTTTCTCGATCACTTGTGTAGCCTCTTTCCCGGTCGCTTGTGTAGCCTCTCTCGCGATCACTCATGTAACCTCGCTCACGATCGCTCATGTAACCTCTCTCTCGGTCACTCATGTAACCCCGTTCTCGGTCACTCATGTAGCCTCTCTCACGGTCACTCATGTAACCACGTGAGTCCCTGTCGCTGGTGTAGCCTCGCTCTCGGTCACTCATGTAGCCGGACCGGATGCTATCTTGTCTGTCATAAAACCTGTTAATGAATATAAAAAATAATTCTGTATATTTATCTACATACTAGTAGATAACGAAGTCACAAGATAATAAATTGGATTACTGCAATCAGGTCACACTATTTTATGGATGTTTATCTATGCAGCAATGAAATAATCAGATTATTAGTATTTTATGAGATTACAAATACCAGATGTTTTTTTTACTAGCGTTTGATTATAAAGACAATATATAACAAAGGCTGGCCTAGGAATCCTCAGGGGTAGATGGGATCCAGTCAAATATACTTCATATAACTTATTATGGATTAACAATTGCCTACTTAAAAAGAGGACTCAGTTTGATATTGTAGTTGTCTAGGATCTGAAGCCTTATCATCCATACATATTTTCATTTTAAATACATCTCAGATTTTTTTGAACCAACATACACAATCAAACACTATCATTATGACCAGTGAATACAAGTAGATAGATCACTTAATGTGTTCCTACTTATTTGATTTGAAATTGTAGCATGACCATTATACACATATCTGAATGCGTTAATACTACCATGTATGGTCACAGTGTAAGAATAAGTGTAAGTGTAAGAGCAAACATAAAAGTGCCTATTTTGAACTGAAAAAAAGTAGAATTCTAAGTGACTGGAACTTTGTATGTGCAGTAATTTGGAGGGAAATTTCAATTTTGGATTTTTTCCTTTTCTTGATGGGATAAACTCTAAACTAGCTAGTCAACTGCCATAATTTTCTGGAAAAAGGCTACAGTTTAGTTTTAAACAATATGAAAATATACAAGAATAATAGTAAAGCCACTGTTTGCCTTGTACCCTCCTAACATATCCATTTTGGTGAATTTTGTAATTGGTATTCTGAGTTCACCATAATATATTTCCATATTCAGGAAATATATCAAATACACACATGCAAAATGAAAGAAAACCCTAATATTTTAGCTGAACAGTCTTATCACAGTAAAAATTTCCAGGCAAGAATAAAATCTATATGAAAAGGAAAACTTTCATATCCTACAATTTACTAGGTAAAAATTGGGCCTTATATGTTCACACTACATTGATGTAAGAAAATCTTTCTCTCCTCATGTGTCAGTGTCAAGGGCATTTACAAATTACGGTCATAATTGAGCAAGATATACATAAGCTTTTCCTTAAAATTATGATATCCCCAGTACTCTAACTTTGCTCCTGAATACAAAAGTGAAAAAAATACAAAATCCCACAACAAAGAGGCTGTTATTGAGCTGCATATTTATTTTTAAAATTCTAATACTGAGGAATAAAAATGAAATAATCATAAGTCTCATCATGATTATTTTTTTAATATTAATTTTACATTATTGTAGATTTCTAAATCATTTAAGCATAAATCCATATACAAATAAGTTAGTAAGCCGTACTTACCTGCGTTCATGATCACTCATATAGCCACGGTCATACAAATCACGTCGACTCCCATAACTGTCATTACGGTCACTAAAGTAGCCACTATGATCACGGTCATCCCGAAGTGTCGCTGTGGGTAAGGATCTTTCTGACCCTCGAACACTGGCTGGCAGCATCCCATGTTTGTTGAGGCTCCCTGTGGCAGAGATGTTAGTCAATGGGATGCCAGGCTGCAGGGAATGAAGCGATGCTGCAGCCCCCACACCTGCCACTCTGGGACCCTGGCTGCTGCCTGCCACTAAACAGGTATAAACCATCGTCCATGTCTAGGTACAAACAGTACTAGCGCAAGCGAGAAAAGCTGCAACATCGCCTAAAGTTACACTCTGATGCAATGCGAGTTTAAACAATCATGCAAGGAATCTCTACAACAAAAATGATCAGTTGCCATGCAGATATAAATTATTTACTTTATGACAAAAAGAAAAAAAAAAACTTGCATGAAAATCAGATCCAATTATTCTTTTACATTGAAAAGAAAAATAAACAATGAAAAAAATGTTATTTTAGAAAATTCATATTTACTAGGAACCATACAATTTTTCTTTCATTTTACTAGTAATGAAAGCAAATTTACAGGTTTTATATTAATCATATATACACATAGCTTGGTTTAAGTAGTGATTATTAGCAGAACATGCTTTGGATGTGGAGGGTGGTGGACAGAGACTACCATGGGGTCATCAGCCACAACTGAACCATTGTTTTCATGATGTGTTCTTCACCCTGTAACCTACCTAGTATGTTTCCTAAATGTTCATATTGTACTATCCAGATTAACGCAAAAGGGATAAAGCGTCAAGGATCAAGGATGTGGTGCAAGGACTGCATAGGAAAGGATATGAGGAACAGGTGCAGGTTTATATATATCTGATACTGTTGTCATAATGATAAAAATAAAAGGGTAGATATCCATTGTTAGGGGCACTGTCTAATGTACTCGTAATTTTTGTTCTTGAAACTTAGTGCCATTTGCTTCCATAAAGGAAAGTACAGTAAAATAAACTGATCTCATAAAAATGCAGCAATTATGTACACATGCAAAAATCTTTGACAGTATAAAAGTTTACATTCATACTTAGATGGCTTTATTTTCATTACTCTTAAAAGCCTTGGTAAGAAGCCTTTTAAGTTTGTTAAATATGGTCAAAATATTATCTGAATGTCTTCATATGATAAAATAATTTGCAAAAGCTTTTTTGGCCGATATAAAAATGAACATACTGCAAAAAGAAAAAAAAATAGTCAGTTGATAACAAAAGTAGGGACTGATTGTGACAAAGATTTTGATACATGCAGTTGCGAGTAATTTTGGGCTAATTTCTTTTTTTTAGTTTAGATAACTGTCTTCATAAAATACAACATAAGCTCACAGCTTACTTTTTGCAATTTCTTTTTCTCTCTTTTTCAGTTATGACGTTTACTTCATACTGAATTATTTTACAAACACTTGGAATTTGACAGTCAAAAGAAAGGTTGGCATTAACTTTCTTCTTTTTTATTTTTTTGGCTCCAGGTAGGTACACAATCAGAAGGACAATATACCATTCATCATTATGTTGAGTTTTGAATTATCCTATCAAAAGATAATAAAGTCTTATGACAAATGATATTTAATCCATTAAGCTCTATAGTAAGTACATAATTTCAATAGATGATGATACAGCACACACAAAACATTTGTTAATAGCAATAAAAATGTTGGGATATGATATTACTTGTATCACTGGTACATGGAAAGACTCTTGAGAGATGTGAGTTATATAGAAAAGCAAAACAGTGAAGACTGTAAGACAGACATAAGAATCAAACTGATTGATGCTACAATGAGAGAGAAATAACTAAAGAAAATGTAAGAGAATAGATTTATAAGAAAGGTAAGAGCTTATGGCCCTTAAATACACAATACAACTGATGATAATATTACAACAAAATGAGTAATATCCACTGAATATAGTGCAATTAATGCTGAAAATTACAAAATGAGAGGCTACTTTTCAAATGATAAATATAGAAAGTCACCATCTCTCATAGCACTGTATTTGTGGATTTGAGATTTCAATTTTAACTGACAGTTATAGGAAGTATATGTATGACAAGAATCAAATGAACTGAGCTTACTTCAGAATAAGTGACGTATAGCAATGATACTGTATAACCAAGGTCCTGAACCATTCATTAGAAAAGATCTCCTGTACATAAAACAACTATATCATTGCATTTGGATAAATAGGAACTTATGTCTATATAGAAAGTATTAAAAGTCTAATTTTGGTAACATTGGTTCAGTTAAATTCTGATAATACTGCAAAGGCTTAGGCAAAATGAGAAAAAAAATTAAATTCATATATGTAATCAAAAGTAATGGCTGTTAATATCACAGGGTATAGGAAAGAACAACAATTAGGAGTACTTAGAAAGTATTTCATCAGAGAGGTAAATTCAGAATGAGAATTTGCCAGAAAAGTTGTGAGTTATATAACATGTCAGAAGGTTGTCTGAGGAGTAATATAGGGAAAGGGATATCTTCTTAAAAATGGCACTACAAAGCTTGAGATTAAGTTGTATCAGTATAGTTCTAAACCTATACAGGAAGAGGAGAGTGATGGAATGCAGCTAGAAGGGGCTAAACTATAAAGTACTATTTCTGGGGCAAGATCAAAATTGTACCAAGTCTTTTTTTAACATTTTTTTGCCACAGCAATACAGAAATATATTTTCTGTTTAAGTCTTATGAATATCATATCTATGGCTATGTTTATAACTATAATTCCAAGAAAATCATTGGAAAAATAAAAAGGAATTCTTTCTCTTTTCATCTGAGTTCATGTATCTGGAGATCTTTTTTACAATATAGTTAGTAATATATATAAGGACATTCTTAAGGAATGGATATGACAAAGTCACTTTCCTTTTATACAAATTATAGCTTTTATATATCATACAAAATAAGTGCTTCTTCTTCACCTCTTTATCTGTATGTACAGACTTGTGCTCTGCCTTCTTAATTATGGTTGATTATTTATGGATATTTCATTAACATCCTAATTGTAACTCACTGACATGAGATTTATAGTTATCCAACATTACTGATTATTCTTGCAGAACAACATATTCATGGTAATTTCATGCTTTACAATGCAAACTAATCAACATGCATGTGCAAATCATGGACAACAAAAATGTAACTTTTCATAAATTTCATTGTTCATGAATTCTAACTACTTCAAAGGAATTTTCTTACTGTGTATATTTATTGAAAATGACTAGGTATTGCTTGGTTTATCAACATTGGTACTTTACTAGAAATGGTTGAGGAATGTTTTTAAGCCACAAGGATTTGAACTATAGACAGGATATGCCATATGCACCAGTGATTATCTAAAAGCTTGTTAGACAGGGGTGCCATGTTTTAAGTAGAAATGTCAAAGAGATTTAAAAGGAATGAGTAGAAAATGTCAAAGAGTTTTGGAAGGCTTTGGACTATGTAGCTTTGGCACTAAGTTTAGGATTAAGGAGAATTTAGATTATCTTAAAGTTTAATGGCACAGTGCCTCCTTAATGGTTTAGGTTGTGTGCACTTACATCTAAGGAACAGGCAATTACATCTTAAGTGCTACTAACTTCTACAAATCTTGAGAGGCCTATTTATATTATCTAATTACATCATAGCATTTTTAAGTCCCATGAATTTGTGGTATTTGCTTAATAGAGAATAACAAACAACTGGAATCACAACAATACTTAAAATTGGACTACAAAAGAACTTCAAAGAATCTATACACTATAAAAAAAAATATGATAAATTATTTCAAAGATCACAAATCCATGGGTCAAGCCAGGATATGCAAGCAGGATATCTTCCGTGGGAAGTTGTTATGACATGGATCTTACTTTTGAAATATTACAAAACTCATGGAGGAAGGGCATGGTGATGAGAGCGTGATTGAAGGAGATGAGAGACAAAGAGAGAAACTAAAAAAGTAAAAAGTAAAAAGTAAAACAAAGAAAAAAGAGTATATATATGCATATATATATAAATAAATAAATAAATAAATAAAATATATATTATATAGATAGATAGATAGATAGATAGATATGGATATAGACTACACCATATAAGTATACATAAATACGTATAATATATATATAATATATATATATATATATATTATATATATATATTATATAATATATTATACTATACTATATATATATATATCTATATTATATATATATATATATATATATATATATATATATATATATGTATATATATATGTATATATATATATTAATATATTATGTATATATATATATATATATATATATATATATAGATATATAGATATATAGATATAGATAGATAGATAAATAGATATACATATACAATACATATAGTATACATATAAATACATATATATATATATATATTATATTATATATTATATATATATAATATATATACTTTATATATATATATATATATATGTAGTACACACACACACACACACACACATATATATATTTATATATATATATATATATATATATACATATATTATATAAAGATATATATTATATTTATATTTATATAATAATATATATATATATATATATATATATATATACTATATATATATAATATATATTATATATATATTATATATATATACATATATATATATATATATATATATATATATATAATATATATATATATATATATAATATATATATATATATATATATATATATATATATATATATATATATAATATATATACTATATATAAATATATTTATATAATATATATATCATATATAAAGATGTATATTATGTATGTATTATATATATATAATATATATATATCATATAATATATATATATATATATATATATATATATATACAATATAATATATAGTATTATAATATATATAATATATAAAGATATATATGTGTGGTGTGTTGATATATAGTATAATACATACTATATTACTTAATAATTATATAATATATAACATATATAAATATAGTATTTATACAGAATATTATAATGGTATCATCTATAATGTAATATATGGTATTAGTTATAGCGTGATGGTAACATGGTATAGTATGTATATATGTTAT